GGGGGGGAAGAGGTTGAGCGTGTTGCTACGTTTGCGGCGGTCATGTGCTCCGCCAGTGGCGTATCTCAGCAGGCGGGGCTCTCCCGGATGGTCGGGGGCGGGGTTGGTGAATAGGGAAGTGGCGCAAATTCGTGGATCTTTCCGCTGAGTCTGCCCGCGCGTCGCCTCCTCCGCCGCCGCCTTAGCCGCCGCCGCCCCCTATCCCAGCCCCCCTCCCCCGGTTCCCTCTGCGCATCTCGGTCCAGCCCGGTTCCCGGGAGGATGAAGTTCGTGTACAAAGAAGAGCATCCGTTCGAGAAGCGCCGCTCTGAGGGCGAGAAGATCAGGAAGAAATACCCGGACCGGGTCCCGGTGAGGACAGTAGCCAGGGCCCAGGCGGCGCTGGGCGCTGACGCCACAGCTTCGGCTTGGGTCTCAGGACGGGCAACTCGGGGTTCAGCCTGCAGTTTGTGGTGGGGCTGGGAAAGCCTGAAACTGCTGTTCTGGAACCAGGAGTGAAAAGAGTGGAGTTGAGGGTGAAAGGATGCACGCGAGAGAGAGAGGGACTCAGTCAGAGAGGGGGGGGGACGCAGATCGGTATCCGTGGGAATGGAGGTCTTAAGACTTGAGTTTGACAGCCGGAAGCTCACATGGTTGTGCGGTTATCCTCCCAGCTAGCTAGGTTTTCGACAGTGAAGCTCAAATCGACCCAGGTAGACCATCCTGTTCATCGGGTTAAGATGGTTGTTTATTATGACGTGCTATCCGGGATCGATCGTCGATAGAAAGGTGAACTAGTGGGGTCAGGATCACTGCTTAGGACTGCACCGTGTGTACAAGACAAAGAGAAATGGGATTGGCATAGATCTAAGTACTGGAAACATTATAGCTTGAGTCCTTGACATGTGGAGCTGTGGGTTGTATTCCTTACATCTTCTAATTTACATTTTCCTTTTGTCAGGTGATAGTAGAAAAGGCTCCTAAAGCTCGGATAGGAGATCTGGACAAAAAGAAATACCTGGTGCCTTCTGATCTCACAGGTAGGAATCTGATCTAAGTCCCGAATTTGCCTCCTGAGGGTGGGTGGGGGTGCCATCTCTCTGGGGAGGCTCTACCTAACAGCTGGGTTGGGTTATGTTTTTCTTAGGTTGATGATCTCTCTCTGTCTTGCACCTTTTATCTTTGGCAGTTGGTCAATTCTATTTCTTGATCAGGAAGCGAATTCATCTCCGAGCTGAGGATGCCTTGTTTTTCTTTGTCAACAATGTCATTCCACCCACTAGTGCCACGATGGGTCAGCTCTACCAGGTATGGTAGCTGGGAAGTATTGGAGGTTTTGGAGAGGAGTCTTAGGAGAGTTGAAAATCAGCAGTTCTTGAACTGCTTGCCTGCTGGCATGCTAGCCTTAAAATTTCATGATAGTCTTGCGTTGGGCTTTGGACAGAGAAGTGAGTGTAGAGAGAAGGGCAGAGACCTGTGAGTTAGAAGAATTGTTCTGATGGTGATTCTACCTAGGTGTCTAACCAGTTCCAAGATATCAAAGAACAGTTAAAGATGAATGTGTGTGTGTGTGTGTGTGTAATTTTCTTTTCGGTTGTGGGGCTTGAACTGAGGGCCTAGGCACTGTCTTTGAGCTCTTTTTGTTCAAGGTTAGTGCTCTACCACTTTGAACCACAGCTTCACTTCTGGTTTTCTGGTGGTTAACTGGAGATAAGAGTCTCTTAGACTTTCCTGCTGGGGCTTGGCTTTGAACCACAACCTTCAAATCTCAGCCTCCTCAACTAGGATTACAGGTGAGCCACCAGTGCCCAGTTCCATGAGACTCTCCAATAAATTACTCAGTGGCGCTGTGGCTCAAGTGGTAGAGCACTAGCTTTGAGCTGAATACCTGAGGGACAGCATCCAGGCCCAGAGTTCAGGCCTCACTACAGACAAAATCAAAACAAAAAACAATGGTTCTTATCTGTGCTAATAGCTTATGCCTGGAAGCTGAGATCTGAGGATCACAGTTCAAAGTCAGTCTAGGCAGGAAAGTATGTGAGACTTTTATCTCCAATGAACTCCTGAGAAAAAGCCAGAAGTGATTCTGTAGATCAAGAGTTAGAGTCCTAGCCTTGAGCACAAAGAAGTTCAGGGACAACACCCTAGCCCAGAGTTCAAGCCCAAGGCAACAATCATTCTTGCTGAGAGCTGGGACTTAAACCTTTAATCGTAACTACTCTAGAGGCTGTGATCTCAGATCTGAGCCAGTCCCAAAAGGTGAATCCTTGAGACACTTCTCTCCAGTTAATTAGCAGAAAGCTAGAACTGGAGGTATGTCTCAAGTTTAAGTGTCAGCTAAAATGTTCTTATTGAGCATGGTAATGCATGCATGTAATCTCAGCACTTGTGAGGCTAAGGCAGAAAGATTTTGAGTTGGAAGGCAGCTTGGGCTACATATAGTAAGTTCAAGGCCAGTCTAGATACATAGTTAGATTCTGTCTCAAGAGAAAAAGGAATTAAAGAATGTATCCCAGTATAGATGGTTCAACTAACTGAAGCCTGGTTACCTGAATACTGTTTTCCATTTTCACGCTAGGAACACCATGAAGAAGACTTCTTTCTATACATTGCCTACAGTGATGAAAGTGTCTACGGTCTGTGAAGCTACTGCCCCAAAAGTGGGGGATCCCATTCTACAAAGACAGAGGTGGTGTCCCTTCCTTGACTCAACCATCTCCTTCAGGCTCAAACACCATCTCCCTTCTTCAGGACCTACACTTTTTAATGTTCAAGGCTTTCTCTCCATCCCCTCTCAGCAGGAGGGGTAATGGTGGACGTGGCCTCTTGTACCTCTCCTTTCTCTTTCTTCCACTTCCTTTTACCCTCTGACCTATTCTTCTTTAGACTTCTTGATTGTCAATCTCTGTCACATCCAGCGATTGTTTGGTTTCTATTTCCTTTCTAACTGCCCAAGGGGCTCAAAACCCCAACAACCCATCCTTTCACTACCTTGTTTTTTTGGGGTAGATGGAATGGACTGAAATTGGAAGGGTAGGAGGCACGTCAATAAAGAGGAAACCACCAAGCTGAACTGAATTTTGCCTTGTGTTTTCCCCTTTTCCTCTTGCTTTTTGTCTCTGGAATGTTCATGGGCTTCACTGATGGAGAAAAGCTGGAATGAGGGAAAAGGAGGTTGGAAGACTAGAAATAAATTTTGGCTTATTTTGTTGAAGTTGGGAATTTTCTTCTGCAAAGGGTATATTTACTTATGTATTTTAAAATTTGTTATTACATATTTTGTAGGCTTTTCATGTATACTTATTTGGTATCTGGTGCACACACACAGACACACACAGCTCTAGGGCTTGAACTCAGGGCCTTGAGAACTCTTTTTTTTTTTTTGTCGGTTGTGGGGCTTGAACTCTGGGCCTGAGTGCTGTCCCTCAGCTCAAGGCGAGAACCCTACTGCTTGAGCCACAGTGCCACTTCCGGTTCCCTAGTGGTTTTTGGGAGATGAGAGTCTCAGGGACTTTCCTGCCCGGGCTGGCTTTGAACTGTGACCCTCAGATCTCAGCCTCCTGAGGAGCTAGGATTACAGGCATGAGCCACTGGTGCCCACTCAAGTATGCTGAATTTTTTTTGGGTCCGGTCGTGGGGCCTGAACTCTGGGCCTGGGCACTGTCCCTCAGCTCTTCAGCTCAAGGCTAGCGCTCTACCACTTGAGCCA